TGTCATTTTTGAAGCTCTTCGAGGATTTTCGAAGAATCTGTTGATCCATTTATGATGAAAATAGGTAGAATTTGTGCAGAATTTTACGACAATTTTTTTGATACTAAAATCAACTCATAAAAATTAGAATTGAAACCCCTGATAGGATTTGAAGCAGTCAGATTACTGTAGATTTGAGGGGAAATTATAATTTTTGTTCAAAATTCTCTGCACTTTTATTTGACGTGTTATTTTTGGCGTGGAATTTTCGGCTTGTATTGGCGTTGAATGACCTAGAAGAGAGAGGAAATTGAGAGAAAAAGTGATACCAAGAGCGTCAAATCCCTTACTATGTCGGCTCACGAACAATTTGATTTCTTTTGAACTTTTTCGAATTTTGCTTTTTTATCGATGCACGAGAAACGCGCCAGCAATCGCCGTTCCACGTTTTTCACCAATTGTTTGGCGTGGGTAGGAGTCCTTTTAAAAATTATAAGGTTAAAAAGTCGAGAAACTTTGGAAACTTCAAAACGTTTAGATTTTTAAAAATGATTGAAGAAAATTCGGGAAAAATTGTTAGATTTCCAACTTCCAGAATTCTTTATTTCACAAAAGAATAAAAAAAAAGGATAAAAAAATCTTCTAGAAGCCGCTCAAATGAAATCAAACTGAATGTCATAACACGGCGAGATAAAATGATTTATAAAGAACGTGACATGACACTAAAAGGGGGCGGAGCCTGTGGGGGGATACCCCCACGTTGCCCTTTTTCTCTGTGCTCTCTCACTATTTCTCTGTGGTTGGCAATCTTTGAAAGTCGTCCCATGATCAGAGATTAGGAGACGCAGAGAAAGGGAAATATGAGAAAATATGAGATTTGCGGAGCAAATCTCACTTTTAGAATAATGAAAAATGCTTTTTGAAGATGATTGAGATGATCTCTGGAAAAACTAATTCAAAAGATCAAAAATCGGGAATTTTCAGAATTTCCAGAATATCTGATATTTAAAATTTTCGAATTTATTGATATTTTGAATGTCAAAGTTTCAGCAAAATTTCAAATTTTCAAAAAATTTTAACATTTCAAAGCTTTGGAGTTTCTGAATTTCAAATTCCAAATTTATATGGGATGCCTGATTTTTGAAACATTCAAATTTTCAAATCGAAAATTGGAAAATGGGGAAAAACGGTACGAATATTTGAATTACGTTTTTCAAATTTTGATTTCTTCAATTTTTAAATTTTCTTTTCAAATTTGCCAAATCTCCAACTTCTGGCACGTTCCAGTAAAATGATTTTATTAAAATAAAATAAAAAAGTTCCGTATTTCAAAAATCTAAAATTTGATCAGGCGGATTTCCGTTCCGAGCAGGTCAATTTTCATCCATTTTCTGAAATTTTGTATTTTTTTGCGGCACGGTGTCCCTTCGACTACCGTACTATTTGAGGCAGCTGCCAACCAGAGATGTCCGGAATGAATTGTTTGATAAATGGAATTTGAGTTCTCCAAATGAGCAGAAAAGTTCTAAAAACACTTGTAACGGGCCGGGCCGGGCCGGGCTTTTTCCGGAATTTCGGAGGCCCGGCCCGGCGGGCCCGTCATTTCACTAGTTTCGAAATTTTCAAAAAACACATAAGGGGGGGACCCTTATGTGATTTTTTCGATCAAAATCAGACAAACAATCCGAAATACGAAAAAAAAAATGGAAAAAATTATATTGAGAGCTCAAAATTTGGCTCAAAAATACAGAATTTTTGGGCCCGGGCCTTGAAAATTTCCTCAGGCCCGGCCCGGTCCGGAATTTTACAAGTATGTCTAAAAACACATATCGTGCTATATTTTTGCATATTTAGTCGCGGAAGCTCAAAAAAGTCAGAGAATCCTTGCAAATTAACGAATTTGCTTGTAGTCCAGAATAAGAAATTTTCTCGGAATCCGAAATCCGGAATCCGGACAAATGAAAATTTTCCGGAATCCGGAATACGGAATACGGACATCTCTGCTGCCAACTGTGACCGTTTAGCTGGTTCAACCCCTCGATGACATTATTTTCGACCGTTTTTTATTTCAAACCTCGCCTTTCTTCTGCTCGAATCGTCCCAATTTTTGGCTCGAAACCTCTCCTTCACTCCTGTTTTTCCTGCTCCCTCTCCGCTCATTTGAATTTTCAAAAGTCACATCTTTCTTTCCCGTAGGCGCAGTGAAAAGCCGAGAGACCATATGATTCATGGAGAGTCTTCAGAGGTGATCTTTCCTGCAAAAAAAGAAGAAAAAAGCGCAATCTTTGAAAGTGAGGATGAGAGATTGAAAGATGACCAGAGACGCAGAGTATGTGGTCAGAGATGTGTGGTTAGAGATTGGAGAGATTCAGGGGCTCTTGTTTACACCTCGAGGGGGGTGGAAGGAATAAAAAAGAAGAATTTTTAATACGTAGCATTAGACATAGCCGGAGGGGAAAAGATGATGAAAAAGAGGAGGAGAGGTCAAAGGAGAGGACATCCGGATTCAATGGAAGGACATCGGGACCAACATACAATCAGAAAGAAAATTGAAACACGTTTCTCTGAGAAGGACATCGTGATTTATGGACACAAGGACAGACAGGAAGACAATGAAAAAGAATGGATGGACATCGGGACAAACAAACAGACCGAAAAAAAAACGGTAAACAGAGAAATAGGATAGAAGGACCCTTGTTGGAGCGGTAGACATCTGGAGTTATGAATACACATACAGATAGAAGCAAGAAATTTTTTATGGATTTTCAAAATTTGGAAGTTTTGCAATTTTTTGGCTTTTGGTTTTTTTTTTCGGATATCAGAAATTTGTCGGGTTTGGAATTAATCCAAACATCTGAATTTTGAAATTTCTGAATTCTCTTTTTTTTCCGAAAATTTCACGTGTTCAATTATTTCTCACTGTCCAATTTTACCAAATTTTCAAAATTTTGTAAATCTCAGAAAGTCTCAAATTTCCGTATATTTTAATTTTCTAGATATATCTGAATAACTTCGGATCCTTGACTTCCATATTGTTTTCTAATTTTTACCATTTTCGATATTCTGAAAAAATTTAATAGAATTTTCTTCTTTCTTTCCTTGACATGATCCATTAATTTTTCTATTTCCATGGTTTTTTTTCCCCATGATTTCATTTATCAATTAAAATTTCGCTTTCCGTACTTCATAAAAATCGTAATAAACCTCTATTTCTCAGCAAAAAAAAACCCAAGAAAACTGGTCACTATCAAAACAGACGAAAATCGGGAATTCTTCTCGGAGGAACACCAATTGTTTTATTGTTATCACTAGTTCCCCTACTCTCGATATCACTTTTCACTTTTCGATTGGACAAAAAAAACTTGTTTTCTGCTGGAAAAAATTAGTTAGGAGAAAGAATTTCTAGAAATAAATTCTAGAATTTTTCATTCGGTTTCAGACAAACTGCAGTTACAAAAAACGCAATCAGTGATAAATGATAACTGGTTATGTAATAATGATTCGATCAAAATACTGGAACACAACACACAGAGGATTTAGTGATATGGCTTGTTGATAACGTTAATTTGGATACTTGCAAAAATAAACAGAGAGATCAGAAATCTGGAAAAAATAAATAAACTGGAAAATAAAACTTTTTTGAAAATTTCAGGTAAAAGTTCTGAATTTTTTGTGAAATCTGAAGTTCCAGATTCTTGAAAAATTCTTGAAAATACTGTAGTTCCGAAAAATTCGGAAATCATAGAAATTTGAAATTTTTGAAAAATCTGAAATTTCCGACTTCTGCAAATCCGAAAATCTTGTAATTCTGGAAAACACTAAACTTTGAATTTGAGATTCTGAATAAATTGATTTTATGAATTTTCGAAATTTCTGGAAATTCTGAATTTTTAAACTTTTGAATTGTCTGAATTTTTGGATTTCTAAAAATCTGTAAGTCAGAAATTCTGAAATTCGGAAATTCTGAATTTCCGATATTTTGAAATTTTGAATGTCTGGATTTTTTGAATTTCTGAAAATTTGAAAATTCTGGAAATTCTGAAATTTCAAGTTTCTTGTACTTTGAAATTTGAAATTCCTGAAAATTCTGAGAATTCTTGAAAATGCTGAAATTCTGGAAAATTCAGAAATCCTAGAAGTTTGAAATTTTTGGAAAATTTCTGGAAAACCCTGAAAAGCTGAAATCCTAAATTCTGAAATTTCTTTAAAATCCTGGTAATTTGATATTCTGGAAATTTTGAAATTCCGAAATCCTGGAAGTTCTGAAATCCTGAAGTTCAGAGAATTTGAATTTGTAATTTTCTGAAATGTCGGATTTCCAAAAATTTGGGATTCTGAAATTCTGAATGTCTGGAATACTGAATTTCGGGAAAATATGAAATTTCTGAGATTCTGAATTTTTAGAATTTCAAGGAATTCTTGAATTCCTAAATCTGATTTCCTGCTTTTACGAGATCGTCAAAAATTTTTTAATTAAAAAAAAATCAAAATCTTGAAAAATTAAATCAAGAATTTCAGGGCTTTCAGATTTGGAACACTGATTTTCATTCATATTTTCAAAATTTCAGATTGTGAGATCCATATTCTTCTTTTTACAAATCAAGGTTCCAAAGATTCCAATCTCCCCCTTTCCCCGGGTATACTTCCACTTGAATTAATAAAAAACAACTAAAACTAATTAATTTCTTATGTTTCCCCCAAATTATCCTTCTTCTATCAACATCATCATCTGCCCTTGCCTTCTCTGGAGATGCCTATCATCATCTCCTCCCCAAATACACAACCAAAACTGACTAAAACCAACTAGTACTTGTTAGAGAGTGTTCAAAACTTGGATACGCCAGAGAAAAATGGAAAAATAACAAGTTAACGGGACGGGCGACAAGTTTCTCCCCTTGTTGGAGGGAAAAGACGCCTCATTTTGGATCCATATAAAAGATGTCCAACGACATTATGCCATTCGTTCGTCTGCTTTCATTCGATTGTGGACCATACCCTTTAAACAGTCGTCTTATCTAATCATGGAAGAGAAACAGAAGATCGCCGAGGCCGAGAGCCTTAAGAAACTCGCTTTCTTTGGTATGTTTGGGGGGTCTTTTGGGATTTCTCCATGATTTTGGAATCTAGTGGTCCCGAAAAATTGGGTTTGTTTCATTTTGGAAATTTCAAAAGTTCAAAAAACTAGAAATATTGAGATTTCAACGTTCCAATTTTAGAAATTGATCGTAAAATTAGTAAAAATGGTGCTTCGAATGGTCAATGAGGTTCTGAATACCAGAATTCCATAATTTTTATTTTTCTAGATTTTTTTTTTCGGATTTTATAATTCTTGATTTCTAGGTATAACTTGATTTCTAGGTATACCGGATGTTCTGGATTTCTTAGGATTTTTAGAATTTGAAATTTTTTCTAGATTTTCCAAATTAGATGTTCCTGAGGTCCCAAGGTAACGAATTTCAAAATTTCTAGATTTGGGTTACTAGGCTCGAAAAAGGCTTTTTTCAGATTTTTGAAAAAATTTTTGGGATTCACAAAACTTTGGAATTCGAGAGTTTCTGAATTTCTTAAACTCTAGTTCCAGATTTTCTGGGTTTTCGAACTTCCAGTGTTTCCGAGGTTCCGATTTTCAATTTTCCAAAATTCCTGGATTTCCTGATTTCCAGGTCCCAATTTTTGGATTTTTAGATTTGTGAATTTCAATAAATCAGTAATTCAGAAATTCAGAAATTAAACGATGCAGAATTTTTCGGAATTTCAAGATGCCAAGAAAATCAGAAATTCAGAAATTCAGAAATTCAGAAATTCAGAAATTCAGAAATTCAGAAATTCAGAAATTCAGAAATTCAGAAATTCAGAAATTCAGAAATTCAGAAATTCAGATATTCAGAAATTCAGAAATTCAGATATTCAGAAATTCAGAAATTCAGAAATTCAGAAATTCAGAAATTCAGAAATTCAGAAATTCAGAAATTCAGAAATTCAGAAATTCAGAAATTCAGAAATTCAGAAATTCAGAAATTCAGAAATTCAGAAATTCAGAAATTCAGAAATTCAGAAATTCAAATATTCAGAAATTCAGAAATTCAGAAATTCAGAAATTCAAAAATTCAAAAATTTAGAAATCCCAAATTTCAAATTTCTCAAATTTTGAAATTTCCCGCCAATTCGAACATTTGAAAAATTCAAAAAGCCCAAAAACCAGCCAATGAAGTAGCACTGGATTCTTCTACTAGGTTCTAAAATTAGCATCTCAAAATATTGAATTTTGAAAATTTTCAAATTTCCCGCCAACCCCGAAAACTAAAATTTGCAGGAATCTCGGTGTCCACCATCGCCACCCTGACCGCCATCATTGCCGTGCCAATGCTCTACAACTACATGCAACACGTGCAATCGTCCCTTCAGAACGAGGTACAGTAATCCCACAACCAGCATATCAAACTACAAATTTGAAAGTTTCAGGTCGAGTTCTGTAAGCACCGAACCGACGGACTCTGGGATGAGTTCCACAGAGTGAGTTTGAAATTTTGAAATTCTGAGAGTTAGAAGAATTTATGGAAATTTAGAAAAACCTAGAAAAGTCTAGAAAAATCTGGAAAAATCTAGAAAAATCTAAAAATTGCAGTTCGAGACAGTGAAGGGAGTTGACTCTCGTATCAAGAGAGACACCCGTTCCCGTCGCGAAGGATACTCTCAAGGAGGAGGTGGAGGAGGATCCTGCTGCTCTTGTGGAATCGGAGCCGCCGGACCAGCCGGAGCCCCAGGAAAGGACGGAGCTCCAGGAGAGGACGGAAAGGCCGGAAACCCAGGACAAGCTGGATCGGATGCCGAGGCCGCCGCCGCCCCAACCGCCGCCGACTTCTGCTTCGATTGCCCACCAGGACCAGCCGGACCAGCCGGAGGACCAGGACCAGCCGGACCACCAGGACCACCAGGAGCTCCAGGAAACACTCCATCCGGAGGAGGTGAAGGACCAGCCGGACCACCAGGACCACCAGGACCAGCTGGAAATGACGGAGCACCAGGAGCCCCAGGAAACCCAGGAGCACCAGGACAAGTGACTGAGGTGCCCGGAACTCCAGGACCAGCAGGACCAGCTGGACCACCAGGACCACCAGGACCAGCAGGAAACCCAGGATCCGCTGGAGCTTCGGAGCCAGGACCACCAGGACCAGCTGGAGATGCTGGACCAGACGGAGCGCCAGGAAATCCAGGAGCCCCAGGATCACCAGGAGAGGCTGGAGCACCAGGATCCGGAGGAGGATGCGATCACTGCCCACCACCACGTACCGCCCCTGGATATTAATTTTTGCCGGGGTGTTTTTCTCCATTTTTGTGCCATTTTTGAGTCTTTCAGTATTTTCCAAGTTTTGGGAAACAACAATAAAAATGAGTCATTTTTCAAGAACTTTTCCATATGCGTCAGTTTTGTTGATTTTCAGATTCAAAAAAAAAACATAAAAAATGGTCTTTTTCTGATCTAGAACTCTGGAAAACATCATTTTTAAATCCAAAATGCTCTTATTTTTCCTATTTTTTCTATTATGCCATTTTCCAATTGGTACCACCATCTTGGCACCGATGAAAATTGCCGTAGTGTCGGGTTACGGTAGTTTGGAACCGGAAATGCAGGTACTGGTTTTAGGATAACTGGTTTAGGTGGTTTCTTATCAGTTGTTACCAGAGAAATGATAAGCGAGGGAACTGGTTGGGGGGATTTATGACAAAATAAGGGAATGAAGACTTTAGATTTCTTTTTTCTAATAGGTATGATCATTATTCTAATAGGTATGGTAACTATTCAAATAAATATGGCCACATTGGATCACAGTGGATCCGAGGTCAGTCAAGACCGATCCGACGTCCTAATCAGAGAGACTTGTTACCTGTAAAGACCCCAAACCTATGTTAGTGAACGAAACAATGGATTGTGATTAGAGAAAGGAGTGTGCTAAGAAGGGGAATGAATATGACCCGAATGAAACGGATAATCCAGAGGGATTTTATGGGGAAAATCGGGGTACTCTGGGTTATAGCGTTTTCAAGTGGTCAGTGTCCCAAGACATTGGCAACAGGCCACTTTTCTGATAGGTATGGTCACTATTCTAATACGATAACTGTCACGATTCTAATAGGTCTGATCACTATTCTAATAGGTATGGTCTCTTTTCTAATAGGTATTGTCACTATTCTAATAAGTACTGTCGCGATTCCAATAGGTATGGTTACTATTCTGGTAGGTATAGGAACTTTTCTAATAGGTATGATAACTGTTCTAATAGGTATGGTCACTATTCTAATAGGTTTCTAAGTTTTTCACAATTTCAAATATTCCAGATTCAACTCCAAAACTCTCTAAAATGGTTCCAAAGCTCGTTTCTCGTGGAAAAATCGAAAACTCCTGTGGAAATTCAGGACATCTATCAACGAATTCCAGAATATCAAAAGTTCAGCAGCATACTGGTTCAGGTATTTTTTTTCGAAGAATTTTTGAAAAAAAAAGAAAATTGTACATTTTTCAGACACCAATTCACCGCCAGAATATGAAATTTCAAGATTTGAAAACGCTTTTGGAAATTGCTGATTTCACAGTTTTTGTCGTTGCTCAGGACCCAAAAAAGTGTCAGAGGGACCCTGATTTGTTGGCCGAAGCCCTGCCAATTGTATTGGTTCCGGATGAGAGGTTTCAGATTATTTTGTTATAATCGGTTCCAGACTTTATAACGAAAAATTCTAAAAATCCCTGAATTTTGAATTTTAAGCTCATTTTCAGACCGCCATTGGCCATGATGTCCATCTGCCTTCAAAATAATCCACGTCACCAGAATCCAAGTCTAGATTCTAGATTTTTCTACGATCTTTTCCGTCATGAAATCCTTCACGGACTAGGATATGGACTGATAATTGATAAGAGCAGTATCACTCATAAACCATCAGAAAAATACATTTGGAATCATTCGAATGGTCTGGGACAACCAGAAAATCGTCATTTTTTAGATTTCGACACTTTTGCCTTGGAATTTACGAAAAAACATTTTTCATGTGAAAATATGAAGGGGGTTGAAGCAGATGGGGAGAGAAAAAATCATTTGAATGAGTACATTTTTGGGGTGAGTCTGGATTTAAAAAAGGGAAAAATCGAAAATTCTAAAATTCTAAAAATTCTAAAATTCTAAAATTCTAAAATTCTAAAATTCTAAAATTCTAAAATTCTAAAATTCTAAAACTCTAAAATTCTAAAATTCTAAAATTCTAAAATTCTAAAATTCTAAAATTCTAAAATTCTAAAATTCTAAAATTCTAAAATTCTAAAATTCTAAAATTCTAAAATTCTAAAATTCTAAAACTCTAAAATTCTAAAATTCTAAAATTCTAAAATTCTAAAATTCTAAAATTCTAAAATTCTAAAATTCTAAAATTCTAAAATTCTAAAATTCTAAAATTCTAAAATTCTAAAACTCTAAAATTCTAACATTCTAAAATTCTAAAATTCTAAAATTCCAAAATTCTAACAATTCTAACCTTCTAAAATTCTAAAATTCTAAAATTCTAAAATT